CAGCGAAATTTGACAAATGTCATTAAAGGGATTCGATTTCTAAATTAAGCGGCAAGAGTTTCACTGCATAATGTATAATTAGATATATTTTGTGGGTGTTTACGAATAACCTTACATTTGCTATGCCGTAAAATGATGTAATCACTATACCGTTTTGTCATGGTTTATCTATAACTGAGAACATTCATAAAATCTTACATTCTCTTGACGTTCTTTATTCAAATTATTTGATAACTGTAACCATTAAGTTTTTAGATGCTCGAAGTTTATGACTGTCAGCTAAATTCTTCTGACTTCTGCGCAAAATTTGGCCAAATCTAAATCGTTATGATTCGTAATAGAATAATTTGTTTGATCATATACTGTTCTACTTTTGTGTGTTTAAATAGAATCGTCCTCTTATATCAATGTGGTTGGTATTTTTTAACACTTTATAAAAATAACTACGTATCTGTGGCGTAAATGCCATGTCTGAGCGTATAATTAAGCATTTGATTATTTTTTCGCGATGAGAGAGGAACGGCTTTCTCTTTGGATTACCATGATTCATCTGGGAAATCCCGTCAAATCTCAAGTCGATTTTAACCAGAATGAGAATTCGTCTATTGACACAACGACATAGGAAACAAAGTTTAAGTGTTGCACAATATACAAGGTAGCCAAAAAAGTTCTGTACGTTTTTAAAAGAAAAAAAGAAAACGTTTCACAGTATGTGTAACTTATATTTAGTCTTCGAAGTAATCGGCATCGGCATCCAGCACCTTCTGCAAACGTGTCTCCAGCTGTTCAATGCCCTTGCAGTAGAACTCGGGGGGTTTAGACACAAAGAAATCCTTGAGGGATTTTTGCAAGTCTTCTTCATTGGTGAAGGATTTCCCACGAAGATGATTATCCAGGGAGTGGAAGAGGTGGTAATCGGATGGCGCAAGGCCAGGTGAATAAGGTGGATAGCACAAAGTCTCCCACCCAAGTTGCTGTATGGTATCCCTGAACACTCGCGAGACATGCGGCCTGGCGATGTCATGGAGGAAAAGCACACCTTTGCGATTCTCCAGTACTGGCTCCTTCTGGCGCAATACCTATTGCACACGTTTCAATTGCTGCGATTATAGGTCTCCAGTGACGGTTTGGCCCGTTGGTAGCAGTTCATAATGAACCACTTGACGACCTGTCCACCAGACACAAAGCATAATCATGCGTGTGTGCATAAGCGGTCTTGCGGTGTGAGCGACAGCATCCCGAGGAGACAACCAATGTCTGGAACGCTTGGGAGTTTCGTACAGAACCCACTTTTCATCACTGGTAAGCATTCGATTGCATAAGGATGTTGTATGGTGGCTAGAAAGCAATGCTACGCAGGCTGCCACTTGTTGTCACTTGTGGACCTCCAACAGCGTTTGCGGAGCCCACTTGTTCTGTTCGTACGTCTTACCTAGGCGGTGTAGGTGAAGTCTAACTGTTTCATCGAAAACGTTGAACTGTCGTGCAAGTTCACCACACGTTAGACTACTGTCCTCTTCAATGGCTGCCTTCAGGACTCCGTCATCCAAGACATGTGGTCGTCCACTGCGATGCTCATCATGGAGAGACAAATCTCCCGACATGAATTTTCGAGACCAACGCCTTGCAGTACGTTCATCCACAGCACTATCCCCAAACTCTTGACATATGCAGCGACTTAATGCAGCTGCTGATAAGCCCACTTTGAAGTCGTAAAGCAAACAGCCCCGAACAAGATGTCTAGACACTTCCATCCTTCTCATAGCAGTCCGGCTTATAACTGATGGCCAGGCACGTTACGCGTGTTTTTTAGAACGTCTGATGTTCCTACTTCCGGCTGTCCGAATTTGAAAAAAACTAGCTACACGCATTTCGTACATATTTCAACTTCATTCAATGACTAATCAAAAGACGGACATAACATTTTTGGTTACCTTGTATAATTAACATTTGTTGAAAAGTTCAATCAACGAATGCAATGAAATGGATGAAAGTCAACTACTGCAAAATGACAAATCTATTTTCTCAGAATCACCATTAAACGAGAATATCTTAGGAAAAAGAAACAACTTCGTGTCGTATCACTAAGCTCTGTTAACATTTCCTACTGATACAAACATTTCTCTATTAAAGATTGTGTTGCGCCAAGTCAGTAGACCGAAAAAATATGGCTTCAGTTAATGTGTGCGCATTTCAAATATTTTCTCAAGATAGCATTTTCGGAAAAGATTTTCTTCGATCAAAATTAATTTACACTTAAATGTTATGCAAAAGATAATTTGCTTGTAACGTTGACCTTTCTTTTTGCATTATCTATTTAAACACACACACACACACACACATATATATATATATATATATATATATATATATATATATATATATATATATATATATATATATATATATATACATTTGATAGGATAGGAAATCTTTGTAAATCAAACAAATTTTGATTTTCTTAAAGCTTCATCAGAGAATGAGGTATGAAGCCAAAACAATTCTCGTATTTTAATTTATTTTTTTATTTGTGTGATCTGTATTTCTTTTGTCTTCTCTAACGGTGTTTATAATTTATGCTTATGTGTATGACAATTCTATTTTCTGTGCGAATTTTGGATGGTCATATATAATCGTTTCCATGTGTGTGTCTGCGTGTGTGTGTTTGTGTGTGTGCGCGCGCGCGTACTGGCGCGTGTGTGTGTCCTGTAGGCATTTTTATTTATGGTTTGTTGTTATCCATATGCAGATTTTCGATGGTTTTACGCAACACATGCAATAGTCGTTGTAGTAGTATTATTAATAATGGAAGATAGGCATAAAATAAATCTTTTAAGTTTGGATCTCCTAAAAATTGTTGATTTAATGTAGTGTATTTGACGTGTGGTTATACATGGCAAACTATTTTTCAGAATACTAATGAAATATATCCTTCGTTTTTTTTTATTAGTGTGGTATTTATAAAACTAAACGTATGACCATATTTGTACCATTGTATTACGAGCAATTTAAAATTTTTTCCTCGAAGTAGGTACCTCTTATGAAAATAGAAGTGTTAACTCCAACTCTCGGATATTTAACGACGCTTTCAAGACACATGAGGATATAGTTAGGAAGATAAATAGATCGAAGATCAATTCCGATGTGGGAAGATTTAAGAAATAACAAACTTGCCACGTCGAAACAGATATAATGGTGAGATACCTCAGAATGTAATTGCATGGGCATTCTATCTCTCTCTCTCTCTCTATATATATATATATATATATATATATATATATATATATATATATATATATATATATATATATATATATATATGTATGTGTGTGTGTTATATTGAAATTATAAAAAATATGAAAAGTGTTTCCCCAATCTACCATTACTTGTGACTCAACATAAAATTATACTATATACGCATGCATATATATATATATATATATATGCATGCGTATATATATATATATATATATATATATATATATATATATATATATATATATATATATATATATATATATATATATATATATATATATATATATATCATACTAAAAATATCAACAAATGTTCCAAAATGGGAGTGTTTAGAGAATGTCTTTTTGTAGGGCTGAGACTTTTTTCAGGAATTCGTTGCATTCATTTTTATAGAGATTAAGGAATATATACATATATATATATATATATATATATATATATATATATATATATATATATATATATATATATATAATGTACAGCCAGTTAGATCAGGGCTAGAGGAATGTAGGGCGCCCATGGCTAAGATACAAAGACAAGCTAAAAAGCAAGTTCTCTGCAGTTAATATACCACATAAACCCCTTGAGCGCTTAGCCTTGGTGCAGGTAGAATGGGGATCAATAGTGGACTCAGCAATTTTCAATCGGATTGTATATATATATATATATATATATATATATATATATATATATATATATATATATATATAATATTAATTTATAAATACAGAATCGTTGCATAGATAATCACACATACATGTCCTCCGATGACTCTATTTTGTATTCCAGTGGTAGAAGCCAGGAATTTTTTTATGTTCTCATTGGACCCACTTCGTGGGTGAATTAATATATTTCCCAACAATGAGAGAAGTTAGATTTAATCATAGTGCATTAACAGAATTATGCTGAAGCATAATGATCCAATCTTGCTCATTACGTTTAAATATGTTCCAAAATAAGATATATAATAAACGGTTATCAAATAGCTGAAATGATCTAATTGCTCTTCAAGCCTTACAAGGTTTCCTGAACATGTGGTCTTGAATCTGGTTATGTTAATCATATTAAAATATCACAGTAAATAGCCCGTTTACATTGTTAGGTGTTTATAGTTAATCAAATAGTGTTTCTATTATTTCACATTACTTATCTATCTTTTTACTAGCCATTCGTCTCTTTCTATTCAAATGCTCACCTTTTTATAAAAGAAAATGATTGATGGGTCATCGGTTTGGCAGCGTGGAACTTAAGTCTATATGTCGTGTATTTCAAATTTCTTCGAAAACGAAAGGGGAAAATATATCTTTACGGGCCTGTGTTTGGGAAGGTGCTGATCCACAATGTCGTCTTGAAGCCCAGCCAATTCTTACTCTAGCTGTAGGCAAGCAGGCGAAAATTGATCATTCCTGGAGCCTCGCACAAGTAGCTGAATCAGAATAAAGTGGAATATCATTAACTTACATGAATAGCTTTACATCTAATATCGGCCGAGGTCGCGCCGGGTGCAATACCTATGCGCCAAGCGTTATATGTTCGTCGGCTGAGGTGCTGGTTGAGGAAATACAGCAAAGTGTCTCTATGCAAAGTGGAACAAGATGCGATTCACTTACATCCACTTGCATTCCCACATTATTCTTCGACTTACCCATGAAGATATTTCGTGTTAATCTGAGAGACATACAAGAGGCAAAATTTTTTTCCTCTTTGTCTATCGCTGTTCATTTTTAGTTCAAATATTCAAAATGAAAGTCCATTATTTTTCTTCATCTATCTTTCTTTCGATCAGATCAAAGAATTTAATGCAACCGTTTGCTGGAAGATATATTCTTTCGTCACTTCCTGAAGAATGTCGCTACTTTTTGAAATTTGATGAATAAATATATCTGAAAGACTGCTTTTCAAAAATACCAATGTTCTACTTGGCACCTGGAATCTCGGCTTCAATTCATTTCTCATCAACCTTATATAGGTTGCCTTTGCATTTTCTGTAAATGATTGCATGATACTTGTCCGGATTATATTTCCTCATTCGCACCTGTTTTACTGGATTGGCAGATAGGTTCCATCATGATATTTCTGACGTTATTAAGTGTAAGCTTAAAATCTATGCTAATAGTTTCTTCCCTTGCACTAATCAACTGTAGATCTCACTTCACGCGATTTACGATCTTCAAAACTTTGAGCACACCGCCAATTTTCGTATTCGTTTTCGTGTCATATCTCTCTTTGTTGTATCGATGTCCTCCCTCGTATAAAGGTCTTTTTATTATCTTTCAAATTCAGTAACTGCTTACGTCGTAGTGGTAGTATCGCCTTGCTTGAGCTGGCATATATACAAATATGTCGTAAAGAATATTCATTTTTTGCTAAAGAGAATATAATTATATCAAATGCTCAGATATCTGACACTGAGTTATTTGAATGAATAATATATTAGTTTGTCCGCTAGTGTCTCTTTTTTGTGTTTTGTTTTTATAAATACTGCTGGATGTTTGCTTATAAAACATAAAATGTATATTTCCATAAGCTTAAATAGTATGTTAAAATAATGTTTGGACATAGTAAATATTAGTTTAGAACAAAGCTCTTACGTTTTTATATAAAACAACTAAACAGAATAGCTATAATGAAAAAGGGTGCGGATATCTTCAGCTCTATAAGACATAGCTTTGTTCATAATAACTCTGAAAACAAATGGTACACTTATATTCGATAAAATGCATGGTTATTTAGGCAGATGCTATATTGATATATTGGACACATCTTTTCCAAGAACTAACAGATTGTCTATTAAGAATACACAAATTCGATATAAATTGTGTATAATCTGTCGAGCATTTTCTATCCACATATTATAATTCACGTGATAAATACCATCCGGCAGTATGATAATTCCATTGACTTTTCGACTGTTCAGCAAGAGATATAGTAGGGCTATTTTGGGGGAGTTGGCTTCGATCCATAATATATATATATATATATATATATATATATATATATATATATATATATATATATATATATATATATTCAGTGTGCTTAGGTAGTGTTGGCGGCCATAGATGATATCGAAGATATTTCACAGTGTTATTGTCGCGCACATCTTGTTCTTGTTGCGGGAATGCTAGCATATGTTGTCTATTTATTTTCACTACGTAAGAAAGAAATTTAATATGTCATGGATAATCACAAATGGCGAGTGTATTTCGTGCGTTTGCGGCACACTGCAAAATGATTCAACATATTTGTTGTCAGTGAATGTTCTTTGGCGGATAACTTTCCACAGGTATCGATTTTAAAGACAAAAGCCAATCAGCTGTGTGAATAGAAAACTATGGAACCCGATCCCATCATCCAAAAAACTACTCTTGCGATCCCATCCTCCAAACGCTACTCTCGCGATGTCACGAGATTTGAACGCCATAATGCAAACGGAATTCAAAATTGAGTCACGCGTACACTATTTATATTATTCGGAATATTGTCCTCATCTTTGTCGCCATATTTATTACAATGTTTCGGCCGTTGTCCTCTCCAGCTTTCTTCAGTTGGTTGGAATGTCGAACTAAACCCTTTATTTCGCTCACTGTAGTAGACTGTTCTAGTTCCACGTGCCATGTTTAATGTATGACAATTATCAGTTATCTCCAGTTAATTCCCATTTCCAAGTTCTGCACTACCTTAACCGGATATTGAACTCACACTCTTTGGGTCCTGTCACTGGATCTAACAAACGCCTTTATCCACTGTGCTCTGTGTCCTCAAGGCGTTGATTTGATCCATTGACAGGACCCAAAGATCATGAGATCAATACCCGTAACGAAGCCGTAGTCTATGTTGAGATCTTAATTCTGTCTCCTTTACTACTCCGCATACACAAACTATCTCACACAAACACATTTTACATTTTTACGTACGCACGCAATATAGATATTACTATATACAATAATTTCAACAACTAGAAAAAAGCAGACACATTCAATACATTTCATTCATTCAGTATATTCCAGCTTTAATTCTTATAGTAAATTAATATTATTTTGTAATACTATGTTGTTTTTCTGTACATGATTTTATTATGTTAATGAATAAAATGAGATTGTTTTAAAAGGCCAAATTACGAGCAGTCCCGCAACATCTTATATTATTTTATCGAATCTTGACACTCCACTTTCTAACGTTTAACTAAAACACAGGTAGAAGAATCCCTACATACACAGCAGTTTTTGCTTCATATGATGCAATTCCTCTTTTATTTCTTAAAATGAACACTGAAGAGAAAAATGCACCTATTTATGCCAAATTGTTATTTTTATTTTGCATATGAATAAAATGGTATCAACCAGAAGATCTTGTAAATGTAAGCCCCACGTAATTTGCTACATCTGCGACGAATACACCTTAGTTTGTAGAAATAATCAAGACATAAGTTTCATAAAGCGTGCTTACTTTCTTTATTTTGGTATTAAACTTGGTGACCAGGATACAGCTTCGGCGCAACACATGTTATGTAAGACGTATAGAGTAATGGCGTCGGTGGTCTAAGGGCAAGAATAGTTGTCAAAATTTGGAATTTCCATGGTTTGTAGGGAGTCAACAAAACCATAATACTGACTGCTATTTCTATGCTAGTGCTGTGACGGAGGATCATCAGAATGACCATAGCAACCTCAAGTAACTTCATCTTCAATCACAACGTCGTCGTTTAGGTTATTGTGATGACATTCCAATATCTCTCTGTGGAGAAATTCCTGGCATTAGTAAGGAAGAATTCTCATGTGATAAAAAATGAAAAAGAAAGAAAGAAAAGAAGAAGATGAAGGCGATGTGATATTGATGATGATATTTCACATCCTTTTTTCCCCAAAAGGAACTAGTGTTGAGTTGTTGGGAGTGTTCCCACGTGTCTGTATACGAATAAAGACAAACACAGTTGTAGGGATAAATACTGGTATATTTGTAAGAGGTAATTAACAACAGAGTGATTAGTAAGAAGGAACGCCGGTTAGTGAGTAACAATAGCAAAAGTCTACAGTCCAACGGTATGTAATGGTAACCGGATCTCGACTGCTGTCGCTGAACCTGATCCTCGCACAACACAGCTACTCTCTCTAGCACTGACTTATATCGTAGAGGGATAAGTCCATTATCAGTCATAAGGTGGGTGCACCCCACCAACTAGTACGCGATATCAGCTTCCCAATGCCCACTACTGAACATTTGGCATTCAGATTGAAGGAAAATAAAACCTCCTTTCTGACAGTGCTCGCATCACCTTCTGCCGCAACCAATATCAAGAGTAGCTCCATGTTTTCTGAAAACAAGGACTTGGTGTACTCTACAGATATTTTACAGTTTCTGCAAAAAAATTGAGCGCAACAATATCAACGCAAATATTGGAGACTGTTCATTGACAGAAGCAAGTGATGACTGAAGATTGTTTTAATCTACGATGACAACCAGATTACGTCTGTACCACGTTCTCACTCGACAACACTGAAGCATAAATAGGATGCACTGATGTATGTTCTGGAGAAAATTTATTATCAATCACACACACACACACACACACACACACACACACACACACACACATATATATATATATATATATATATATATATATATATATATATATATATATATGCTGATGATATATATATATGTGTATATATATATATATATATATATATATATATATATATATATATATATATATATATATATATATATATATATATATATATATATATATATATATATATATATATATATATATATATATATATATCAAGACACACACAAATGGATGCTCATATATGACATTTTCTATCAATATTTAAAATAATTCTGGTGTGCCCAATATAACTTCTGTTTAAGGTCAGACACTGCCTGAAACATTAGTTCAAAAATTGTCGGAATTTTTTTTTCAAAATCTATTATAATCTCGACTGCTGAAACATCTGATATATTTAAATCGAAAGTCAATATTTGATTAATTTTTTAAAGGTTCCGCAAATATACTTCCTAGAAATATGCAAAAACAGTTTCCAATTTCTTTCCGCCTTTGCAAATCATTTTTACAATATGAAGTTCTCTTTATATATGTTCATAGGTTGCTGACTGTTTCTCAAAGCTAGGTTTTGATACAACCCGAAAAGTTTTCAAAGAATATATTTGAAATGAAAATCTATACGTAGGATATACATAATAAAACTGAGACCTAACTGTCTTTGAAGAATTTGAGCCAAGTACTGACGGAAACATTGAATCGCAAAACCTTTCAATTGATACTTAAACATAACACATTGATGATCGATTCTCTACCTCTTATCTTCTTTTATGTTCAAAAACTTCCAGGACATAGGAATTCACGATTCTGTAGAACTTCCTAATTTCAATCCAGACAAAACCATACACCCTGACGAAACCCGAATATATATTCTAATGCTTCTCTTGTCTTTAAGATCAATCTCTGTGAAATTTTTCATTCGTTGTTTTTATGTCTTTCAGAAAGTTCAACTCTATATTTCTTAAAGTAATTAATACCTTCATAGTAGTTCCGATATCCATAAGAATACCTGGCTGATATGTAGCCATCGTACTATACACATTTGTCAGTAGAACCACACATTTGCTTCTATCTAATATCTTTCCTCTCTCTCTCTCTCTCTCCCCATCTCTCTCTCTGTGTCTCTCTCCCTGCCCCCCTCTCTCTCTCTCTCTCCCTCTTGAGATGTATCTTTTTCTTATTGTTATGTGTTCCGTTTTCGCTCATTTATTAATTAATCCTTTCAAATCTGTATCCGCAGTTTAGCTGCATATTCTATGATAAAATTAAAACAATCATAAACAAATAATAGATATTAAAAATATACAAAACAGAAATGCATTCATTAAAGCAGTGTTTGTAACACTATACCGTTATGCATGTATCTAGATGAATGAAAACATTATAGGGTGTTTTCCCTAACACCTACTTTCTTAGGAAAGAAGATGTACATGAGTTTTGCACTGTAATTATCCCCAGCTTTATGTACCTGGCTAAGCAGTCGATATAAAGAAACTTATACAGTTGTTTCCTTACAGGCATTATCCAGTAAGGTAAAAATTCTATAATTGACAAGAGATATTGCAGTAGTATTGTTGAACAAAAATTCTGGTGTCGCTATGTTAAAAAGGGATGTTCTGCAGTACCACTTACAAAGATGATATTTCAAGTAGTAACATAATTTTGGAATGTGTTTCTTTGTTTTTTAAAACATTTCACAATTAGGAAGGTAATATTACCACAAAGACGAAAATAGTTACAGGAAATGGAAGAAAACAAAATTACCTTATCGAGAAAGGGCAATAGAAGAAAAGAATTCAGAAGGCAGAAGATGGCGATTGACATTTTATTTAATTTTTTTTTTTTTTGAGATTTTATACGGAATGGAAGCAAGTGACCGGAAGTGTGTTCGGCATGTGTAAAATGTGAGAAAAGAAACTATTAGAATTAAGCGAACGGCTAAACCTAAACCTTCCCACGGTAAAACGATGACATCGAGCAGCCAATCTAGTAGTACGCTTAAATCCACGTTGTCGTGGTACCAAGATGGAGAAATCTTTACCAGAACTGAATGGAAATATTTATAGAAAAGGCACAGGGAAGGTAGGTAAAGTCAGTGGAAGTGTGACTGAAGACAAGATGTCAATCTTGACCGATAACTTTACAGACACGTCTTTGGATTTGCTCGAGAATCTCGCGATGAATAGCAGAACCAGACCCTGATATGACAACTATATTCTATATACACTTGAGGTTCTGATGACAGAAATTGTTTGAAACGTCCCCATGAACCAACAAATATTCAGCTGACCTAGCAATTCAATATAATCGCTTCATTTCATGTCATTAGAAAACATGAATCCAATAAACACAATGTATAGCTCTACTGGAGGTTACGGTCTGCCATGACTATTGAAACAATTTTTTTCTCTACTTTGGCTAAAATATAGCAGATTCATTTTGAAAACGTTAAAATTGACATGCTATTTCTTGAGCTGTTCAATAGAAATCACCAATTACTGGTCATTTTAACGACAGCATATCTGCTGATATTATATAATCTTCTTACAGCCTCGTTGGATCATTTCTTATGTATTGTGTTGAAAGCAAGGAAATAAATCACACTTTAATATTCTAATAATAAAATTGATTGAATTTGTTTTTCATTAACTCATAGTGTTATATCACTTCTCTGCATGGTTAACTTATCTATGCCAAAATGAGAATTTGTAATATCGTCGCCTTTGTCCGTTTGAACACGATGGAATATATAACTATGTTCCCATGATCCATTCCAAATTGAAAACCTAGCTGGTTGTTATGAAATGGTTTACTTACGTATACTAGTTATATTTATCCAAAGGATCGGAACGGAAAATAGATCTTGGATATATTCCAATGTAAATGCAGGGGAAAACCAATACCATACAGCCTCAAGAGATAGGTCCTCTTGACGATAAATGTCAGGACATAAATTCAAGTTAAACAGCTACAGTAATTTCGTTAGAGAATAGATGGAATAGCTTCTTAGATCAGTGATATATTCTACTTTGTCTCTAAGGATATTTACAAAGCCTTTCCTAGTTATTTATTAAGTATTTTAGCCGAATCAAGCGTCACTATCAATGATGACTCTATGAGTTCACCTTAAATAATTTACGCCAAGTATACCAAGATCCACACAAATTATATTTTCTTTTTTGATAGGGATATTATTACGTCAGTTAATTAGCAATGCAAATGCTTTGAATAGTTTTGTAAGAAGGTTAAATTTAATTCTAAAACTTTGGCACGTAATCTAGTGATACAGTTTCGTACGAGATTTTTTTTTTTATATATACGGAAGTGTTTCCGTACAACGCATTCGGGAGATAATATCAACCCTTTTCAGACCAATATTTCTACCATACCATGTTAAATATTAATAACCTTAGTTTAAATAGAACTAACAAGTAAGATTTATTTTATATTGCAAATATCAAAAATGTACGCATCCATTTTTTCCGACTGAAGCGTTTTCAAAAACAAATATCTCACTGAATATTCTATATTTTTCACTACTAGGCAAAATGTATAATTTACAGGAGTAAGGTAAACCCATGAGTCTTTATGAAATAAAGTTGCGTTGGTTCTTTATATTTTACAAGAGACTTTCGTTTGCATTTCTGGGGAATAATTAATAGAAATAGTTAAATTTCATTGCTATTTAAATCTTATCTGGGTCGTGTCCGCTAAGATATATTCCTGCCTTTCCAAAAGACATATTCAGGTTTTTGAGTTCAAAGATCTCCTTCACTTAGACTGACAGCAACCCAGGCTAAAAAATACAGAAAAAGAGAGTCTTCTATTAAGAGCGATTAACGCATCCCTGCTGTAAATACATTAGTGGAATAGTAATTTTTACACGCTAGAATATTCTCCCAAAAAAGATTAAAAGAAGTAATTCTCAGCACCACTCTGTCGTGCGCATGTGCAGTCCTGGCAACGAAAAACTTTAGTTCGATGACATTCTGAAGGAGGAAATGCGTCAAGAATAAACTTTGTTCACTTCGTCAGAGAATTTCCCCAATAATTTAATTATAGACACATAAAGACACACGGACACACACACACACAAACAAACACACATACACACACATACACACACATATACAATCATTTATTCGAAAATTACAACTGTTGTGCATTCCGTGGATAGAATACGGCACAAATAAATAACAACACCAGTAAAAGGAATAGAAAAATATGTGTATTAAACGGACGAATACAAAGTGAAATGAGGATTAGTAGTCCAGGAATGCGGGTTAGTAGAAAAGTATATTTACAAGTCGATGTAATGGAAGCCGTAATTATCTCTCTTTCTTGACTCTCGTAACTCTGTGTGAACACCCTTTGTCGAACCTTCTCTCATCACGTTATCTCTCCGTCGTATAAATATGCATTGGACGAGTCCATTCTGTGTACATGGGGCGAGCCCCACAATACCCCTCTCCTTAGCTTCTGTTTTGAGGGAGTTAATATTTTTTTCCGCTTATAGTCTATTATTAGCGGTTCTGTGAATTTTCTTTTCCATCTTTTTCTTCTAATCTCCGTAGCTACTTGTGGTCTTTGAATTTCAAATACTTCAAATATCGCCTACATTGACTCTTCATTTTCCGTCTTCCCGTCTTTTTTGTATCCGATTGATGTCTCCAGTGAGTGAATTTTTCGCCTTGTATCGTGTATAGAACATTCCCCAGTCTGTTTATTATCGTACCTGGTTCCCAGTATGTCATATTGTTCTTGAACATTCTGAAAGAGACCCGTTCGCCTGGTTTGAAGGATCATTTTTTATTGTCGATATTTATTTTTGCTGGGTAATAATTTCTGAAACGCAGACCGTATTTTGCGTGCAAAAATAACTTCAGCTGGTGAAAGGCCAGATGGTGTGTGTCCGTTCGGTGTGATTCTGTATACTTGTAGGAACTGTTGTATGGCTCTTTCTGTTGGTACGTCCTCTTAAGCGTATCTACAAACCTTTCGGCTTGTTAGATCGTGGATGGTATGGTGCTATTTTAATATGCTTGACTTGATAAGTCGCACAGAATTCTTAAATGTCGCTCGAGGTGAATTGTGTACCATTATCAGCTACCAGGCAATCTACAACGCCGAATCTTGCGAATAACTCGTGTAGACAATTAATGGTGTTTTCCGTCGTAGGATTTTTGTATCTGAAAACTTCAGGCCAATTGCTGAAGCTACCTACCGTTATCAAGTAGTAATATTCATAGTCCGCATGGATTTTAGACCAAAGTCTGTCTACCTAAGGTTATGGCTTTTGTATAATAGGTGGTGCCTTTGCTGCCGCAGCACAGTCTCTACATTTTTTCACCATTTGAGTAATGCCGTTATCCATACTCGAAACTCCTCATTAACGCTTTCACAGGATTTTTCCCTGGGTGTCCTTAGATGAAAGTCCTCCAGAATTCGTCTTTGTAAAGATTTGGGTATGACCACTGTTTCATTATAAAGTAATACGTGATCACAAATTGAAAAGCTTTTTCTTCTATTTTTCTCTTTGTTCTTCGTATGAATTCATTCATTTCAGCTTCTCCTATTTCTAACAAGGTCAATGGTAATTCACTTACTGTATTGTTTAGCACTTTACTAATTTCTATTACAAAGTCTTCCAGAGGTTCGCATTTTGCAGGTACTAATCTAGATAATCCATCCGCATGCCCAATTTTCTTCGACGGTAGGAACTCTATTTCGAAAATATAATTCAATAATATAATTCCTCATCTCAGAAGTCTGTTGGGTGTGTAAATTGGTAGTCCTTTTTCTCAATCCGAATATAGTAAGAAGAGGTTTATGATCAGTTTGAAGTGTAAACTCTTTTCCATATATATATATATATATATATATATATATATATATATATATATATATATATATTTGGGAAGCGAGTTATGGCAAATATTATGTCTAACGATTCTTTCTCAATTTTTTGAATAATTCTTCTATGCTGGTAACAACGCTCTAGATGCGTGAACTATCGGTTTCCTTGTGCGATCCTGCATCTTGTGTAATATACAGGCTCACACTCTGTGTGAGCTTGCGTCACTAGCAATGATAATTTCCAGTTTGGGATCAAAAAGCGTCAGTGACAGATCAGACGTTAATTTCTTTATGATCTCCTTAAACGCTTTCTGACAGTCCTCCGTCCAGTTCCATTTGTTCTCTTTTTTCAATAATTCATTGAGGGGAGCCTTCAATTTATGCATGTTTTCAATGAATTCCCCGTAATATTTCGCTAGACCAAGAAAACTTGAAACTCTGCGACATTTTTCGGCTCAGGCACATTTTTTTTTTATTGCAGATGCCTTCTCTGGATCAGGTTTTCTGCCACTTTCATTGATTATATGGCCTAGATATTTGATTTCTTTTAGAAAAATATTCGCATTCTTTCTCCAAAATCCTGAATTCTTTTAAAAACTGCATTAATGTGCGTTGCGTGTTCTTCTACAGTATCGCTTTTGATTAAAATGTCGTCTAAGTAAGCAGTAGCAAAATTCTGTCCAATGAGCATGGTATCCATCGACGGTTGGAAGATTAACGGTGCTACTTTTATCCCAAATGACAATCTGCTAAATCTGTAAAGTCCTTTGTGAGTATTGATACATAGAATTTTTGTACTTTCTTATTCTACTGGAATCTGAAGATAAACTTCACTTAAATCAATCTTAGAAAATATCTTACCACCGTTAAGTAAATGTTTCCTCCGAGCTTGGCAATGGGTAGTGATAATCCTTGATAGCCTTGTTTAACCCAGTCGAGAAATCTGAGCAAACACGTGTTTCTCCGGATTTTTTCTTTACGTAGACTACTGGTGCCGCCCATTCCATGAATTCGATTTGTGGAAAAATTCCAGTTTGAACCAATCTCTCTAACTCGTAAGTTTTTTTCTATGGTTGCTCCCGATTCCTCGATATCCCTAGAATCATTTTTTATACTCAAGCATTTTTGTTAGTCTTCTGACAATTATTGTAGCGTTAATCCAGGCTCGTTCTGGGGTTTCGAGAGCATTCTTTTGCGCATTTTCCTGTCCTTGGCTGAGACTAGTCCCTGTACAAAAAAGAGAAACATAAAGTTGTCCGGAGTCAATTCTGCTAATTTAAAGTCATCGCAATGTTTGTTCACAATTTGCGGCGAATGTAGAGCAGTCCATAATTTCGCTCTTTAGGAGGTTGAGACATTTTCAACTTTTGTGAAAAAGTGAAGTCTTTGGACTGAAGAGCTCCGTAAGGCATGTAACTGCCTCGTCAAACGTCAAATCGTTTATCTTTTTCGGAAGAATATAGTCCACAAATATTGTGTACTCGCCTGTTCCCATTTTCCCATTTTCAATTTTGGCCGATGTAATAAAATAGTCCTCAGCTACTTAGTCTTCCAAACTGCCTCGTCCAATTTTTGTGTATTGCAATCAATGTTGAAATGTCTTAATGACGTCTTCTGTGTTTGTAATAGTCCCTCCTCGAAATTTTGATCATCTTCTAGAGATTTTGCATTTAAATTGTTTTATTTTGCTTTTGTCTTCTCCCTTCTTTCTTGGAAAAGTTGCCTTTATTTTGCTTTTGTCACTTCTCCCTTCTTTCTTGGAATTGTAGTTGCTGTTTATTTTGCTTTTGTCACTTCTCCCTTCTTTCTTGGAATTGTAGTTGCTGTTTATTTTGCTTTTGTCACTTCTCCCTTCTTTCTTGGAATTGTAGTTGCTGTTTATTTTGCCCTTCTCCCTTCTTTCTTGGAATTGTGTTGTTGTTTATTTTGCTTTGTCATTCTCCCTTCTTTCTTGGAGTTGTATATGGTTTTCTCATTTCCCTTCTTTCTTGGTGTTTGTTTTGTAATTGCTTTTATTTTGCTTTTGTCATTTCCCTTCTTTCTTGTGTTTGTAGTAATTGCTTTTGCTTCTCCTCCATTCTTTCTTGGAATTGTAGTTGCTGTTTATTTTGCTTTTGTCACTTCTCCCTTCTTTCTTGGAATTGTAGTTGCTGTTTATTTTGCTTTTGTCACTTCTCCCTTCTTTCTTGGAATTGTAGTTGCTGTTTATTTTGCTTTTGTTGGAGTTGCTGTTTATTTTGCTTTTGTCCTTCTCCCTTCTTTCTTGGAATTATAGTTGCTGTTTTATTTTGTTTTTATTTTCTCCCTTCTTTCTTGGAATTGTTGCTTTATTTTGCTTTTGTCACTTCTCCTTCTTTCTTTTGCTGTTCATTTTGGTATTTTTGGAATTGTAGTTGCTGTAAGTTCTTCTAAAATACATTTAAAGTCCTCCATAATTGCTGTTTAGACTATTTTGCTTTTGTCGAAAAACTAGATTTTCCTTCTCCCTTTTGAGAAAGTTTTGTCACCTTTCTTTCTTGGAAATTTTGCTTTTGTCCTTCTCCTTCTTTCTTGGAATTGTAGTGGTCACGCTGTTTATTTTCGCAAATCTTTGTCGTAGTTGTTGTGGACATTAGCAACGGTGTTTATTTTGCTTTTGTTGGAGTTGTATTTGCTGTTCCTTTTGGTATTTTATAAGTTCTACTAAAATACATTTAAAGTCCTCCAAATAAGGAAAAACTAGCAAATCCTCGTCTTTGTCCTTAAATTGTTTTGATGGCCTCGTCATAAATTGTTTTTGATGGCGATTTTTTTTCTTCCGTGCGGGTCCAAAGCCCTCGTCGCCAAGTTGTTGTGAATTCCGTGGATGGAATACGGCACAAACAAATCACAACACCACTAATAGAAATAGAAATATATAGGTATTAAACGGAAGAATACAAAGTGCAATGAAGATTAGTAGTCCATGAATGCGGGTTTGTAGAAAAGTATATTTACAAGTCCCTATAATGGAAACCGTGATCATCTCTCTTTCTGGACTCTCGTAACTCTGTGAACACCGTGTGTCAAACATTCTCTCGTCACGCTATCTCTCCGTAGTAAAATATACATTGAACGTGTCCATTCTGTGTACATGGGGCGAGCTCCATAACAATAACATAAAATATTATAAGATCACTACAAAAATAGAGTAATAAATAGCAATATATGTTATGAAAACACTACAAAAATAGACATTTTCTTTCAACACTTGTGCTGTGTTATCAAGTTAGGGTGTTGAATTTAGATTCTACATTAAACGTCATCAGAGAATAAAACACCAGACGTGTTGAAACAAAATGTCTACGTTTGTAGTGATTTCATAAAATTGTTATGTTGTAATTTTCGAATAAATGATTGTATTTAATCTACTCTGTATTGAGCACTCCTTTAAGAATAGTATTTGTTGCTTATTGGAATTTATTCCGTATACACCAATCCTATACTTTGTTATATATATATATATATATATATATATATATATATATATATATATATATATATATATATATGTACAAAAAGAAACATTTTGTTCCTTATTTACTTAAAATGTAATAGGCTAATGCACTTTAGGATGAAAATTAAGTAAACTTCTACAAACTTTAGTCAAATGGTTAAAAACTTGATTGAATGCAACGGCGAAAAATTCAATAGATAACATTATATAAATAAATAGACATATTGGCTTCTTTTCAAATTGTTAGTAATTTCTCGCCCAGTATCATAAAATTTGTCAATATTACCCTGGCGCGAAATGATATCCCAAAATAAAAATATAGATGGACTGATACGGAACTATTATAGGAATTGTTGTCTGTTACATTCATTCTTCTCAGTCAAATTTATTCGACTTTGCGTTGTATTGATGAAGTCCTTCAAAACACTTTGAGAAGGATCAGGCATAAAATATCGACGATACCGACAATTATGCAGTTAGATGTAAACATAAGGCTGCCACAATGCTGTATCAGACATATTCACAGGCACATACAAAGACACATACAACATACACAAACACACACACAGACACACATATATACACACAGAGACACACACACACACACACACACACACACACACACACACACACACATATATATATATATATATATATATATATGGCTGAAAAAAATATTAACAGAAGGTTTATAGAAAGATATTTCAAAAATACTAGCTACTAAACACGATGCTAACAATCGGATTGTAGTTTTTATAAATGGGCTTATTAAATAAGTTGTTACTAGTAAATGAAATATTAAAATTGGAAGAGATGGAAAATATATATACAATATATTCAAATTTTATGAGTAATGAATAGGGTTTACTATTTGAACCTGGATTGTTAGTATATATATATATATATATATACATATATATATATATTAAGAAATGGACAAAGTCCGACAATTTGTTTATTAAAGACATTTTTATGTTTAACGTTCTTTTTATAGATACAAGTATTTAAGTAAATCCTTTGTTTATAATAAACAGTATTAAATAACATTTACAGGCCTGAATGCCCGAGAAATTTTCAAAGAAAATATTCGTTCTTTGACAATTTTCGAACCTTCATCCAGGTAAACCGTCATTTAATACGTGTTTATTATAAACAGAGCATTTAAAATACTTTTTATCTATAAAAAGAACGTTAAACATAAAAAATGTCTTTAATAAATAAATTGTCGGACTTTGGTCCATTTCTTAATATATGACGTCATTTGTTTACATTTGATACGCCAGAACAGTTATGAATGTACGAGATTCATGGAAGATTTATAAGCAGTAAATTCTACCTTGTCTACCGAACGCTTCTTTGTGGCCGATCGGTAAGGCACGTCAGCGTAACTGACGGTTCCGTATAGGATGCAGGTTCGAATCCTGTCAAAGAACGAATATTTTCTATGAAAATTTCTCGGACATTCAGGCCGGTAAATGTTATTTAATACTGTTTATTATAAACAGAGCCATTACTTAAATACTTGTATCTATAAAAAGAACGTTAAACATAAAAATGTCTTTAATATATATATATTTTTATATATATTATTAGATATGCACGTAGGGAGAGATTTTTCAAACTTGTGTTCTGTTACATTTAACAAATATTGCTTTATAACATTAATTATATAAAGTATCAAATTGGGTGTCATATCTTGAAATGCATGAAAATTTGAAAATTAATTTTGTCGTATTTACTTTGAATAAACAAATGTAAAAATAATTTATTTAAACTTTGAAATAAATAGTATAACTGAAGTTAATGCGATAACAACAGTGCAATACTGCTACGCACTCAGAACTAAAGTATATATGTATAATGTAACTGTAATATATTTACGCGTTATATAACAACATTGATTAAGTAAACAATATAAACAAACTTTATCTCATTATTTAAAATTGATTATCGTAAAAATGAATACAATTTCTTTAAAAATATTTGGATTTTAACGTATTTGCCAGAGTCTAGAAAATTTTAGCGAATCCCAAATAAGAGCGGAATTCTTTAAATCTATCTATCTATCTATCTATCTATAAATACACACACACACACACACATATATATATCTATATATTACAATAAACGTGCAATCAATTTACAAATACATGAATTATTCACACAAAACTAATGCAAAGGTTAATGATTTAAATGGCGAGACATCCATCTCGCAAACAATTCAAATAGTACACAAAAACCTCCAGATCCGTTATGAATGAATTGATCCTTGTTTATATAAATTTCTGCCGTATTAGTTGTTATTTTTACTACAAGCTTTCGTCTGTTCCTACAGACATCTTCAGGTATATAATAGATGTTGTTTTTGTTTTTTCTCTTAGTAATAAGAAGACATCGAAAATATATGTGTATTGTATCCGAAATGCTATTGAAAATGAGTTATTGGTTTTTGAACGCGCCAAAGCAACGCTGAGTTTGATTTTAAATTTTTAAAGTGTTTGCGTTTATACCAAATATGGTGATGAACAAATTATTTTACTGGTAAATTTTACTGTCAAAGTGGCATGAACTATATTGTTCAATAATTACAGTAATGTCGCACTTATTATCCAAAAGTCGCACATGGATCAGTTATTTAAATTACAATAAATGTGCAATCAATTTACAAATACATGAATTATTCACACAAAAACTAATGCAAAGGTTAATGATTTAAATGGCGAGACATCCATCTCGCAAACAATTCAAATAATACACAAAACCTCCAGATCCGTTATGAATGAATTGATCCTTGTTTATATAAATATATATATATATATATATATATATATATATATATATATAGAAAAAATATATATGTATGTAGGTTTGTGTGTCTGTCTGTCTGTAGACATAAAGGGTAGTGTAATGACCTATGTTTGATTTATTTTTTAGGTGAGAGAGGGCGAAGATCACCGCTTGAAAATAAATGCACATCTATAGAAAGAAAAACTACTGATCGATATTCATTAAATTTGGAACGTAGATGATAGACATAAAAAGGAATGTAATGAGTTATGTATGATTTATTTTTGAGGGCAGCAAAGTGGGCAGAATACCCTTGAAATTAAATGTACATCTATAGGTGGAAATAATCTTTCACGATCATCATTCAGTTGGGAACATTTCTAGTATATATAAACTGGAGTGTAATGAGCTGTGTATCAGTTATTTTTGAGTGAGTAAAGGGCGTACACTCCTCTTGAAAATAAACATACATCTATTGAAAGAAAATAATTTCACCGATTTTCTTTAAAGATGCAACGTACGTATCAGAAACTAACGAGAGTTTTGTAAGCTATGTTTGATTTATTTTTGAAGGGAGTAATATCCGTAGTCCTCCACCTAGAAATAAATATTGCTCTATACGAAGAAAACATACTTCACAAATCTTAGCATATTAGACATAAAAGGCAGTGTAATGAGCTATGTTTGATTCATTTTCAATGGGCACAGACCCTCCCTGTGCATTTATCGGAAGAGAAAGTACTTGACAGATTTTCATAAAAATTGATAACATAGTAAATATAAAAGATAGTGCAATGAAATATGTTTGACTTATTTTTGGGAGTTGGCAATGGGGCAGAAACTCCGTTTGATAGTAAATGTCCCTATGAATTCAAAGAATACAAGCAGATTTTTATGAATTTTGGAACATAGATTTTCGGCAAGGGAGGGAATTCAGTATGCCATGTATATTATTTTGATCAAAGGAGGTCCACTTCACAAAACGTACTATTTTTCCCTTCGATTCAAATGAA